GCATTGTACGTATGAAGGCACTTGTGCACAGCCATTTGTGGTGGCCTGGGTTAGACATGGACATTGAAGCTAAGGTGCATGCATGCCACCTCTGTCAACGCTCATGCCCAGAAATGCCCCAGGCTCCTGTGCATAGATGGGAGGAAACACAGTCTCCATGGTCTAGGGTGCCCATTGATTACGCTGGGCCCTTTCAGGGTCAATTCTTCTTGGTCCTGGTTGATAGCCATTCGAAATGGCTTGAGGTTGTACCTGTCTCTTCCACCACCACTGCAAAGACTATTCAAGTACTGAGGGGGATTTTTGCTGCACATGGGCTTCCTGATGTTTTAGTATCTGACAATGGCCCTCAATTCACTTCCTCCAAATTCCAAGCTTTCTTACAGGCCAATATGATTCGTCATGCCACCTCTGCACCTTTCCACCCTTCCACCAACGGTATGGCTGAACGCATGGTATGCATCACCAAGGATGCTTTAAAGAGACTGACGTATGGAGACTGGCATCACAGGTTGGCTGACTTCCTCCTTTCCTACCGCACTACACTTTCCACTTCTACCGGGAGGAGCCCAGCTGAACTTCGTTGGGGGCACAAACTGACTATTAAGCTTGACCGGTTGCACCCGGACAGACTGCCTTCTAAATCCACACAACCCAGGGCACCTAGGCAACTGCTAGTGGGTGCCCCGGTTTGGACCCGTAATTATGGGCCTGGTCACTTGTGGGTCCCTGCCAGAGTATCCAAGGTCACAGGTCCTTTGTCCTACGAGGTTTCCCTGGATGACAGTCGTGTCCTGCGATGACACATCGACCAACTATGCACAAGATGGGACTCTCCTACTGAGACTCCTGGATCTTTTCCAGGGGGGGAGGGGGACCTCTATGGGCAAGGGGAAGGGTGTGGGCTGCAGCCTGTAACCAACGGGGAAGTCACAGATGGCCCATCCCAAGATTCCGCGAGTGCTCCAAACAGGAATTCGTGGGGACTAACTAGAACACAGGCACCAGTGCCTACTCCAGCCAGGGAGTTACCCCAGGGGCATAATCACTACACACCAGCACCATTCAGTACTCCAGTCAGGGAGAATAACCGGGAGCATCCAAACAACTCACACCCTGCAAGAGAGCTGGCACATATTCCGTATAGTTGGCCCAACGCTACCACTGTCCCTAGAAAGGGGCAAGCACATAGGGAGGTGGTCGAGGAACCAAATTCCGATTACAACACCTCTGGCAGCACTCAGAGGGCAACTGAGTTTTGGGACCGTACCGAGAACCCAGAGAGCCTGTAACTAGGCAGGACAACCAGGTTAAGTAGAGAACAAAGCCCTGGCCTGACGAGCCTGATGGGCAAGCAAGCAGGCCAGGCATTGGAGCACAGTCCACAAGGACCACCAGGGTCAAACAAAGGGGACAAACATATAGCTTCCCCCGGGCAAGGGGTACTTGGAGGGTACCAGGAAATTTGGAGGTCACAGAGAGCTAGAAGATCTCCTAAATATCTAGAAGATTTTGTAACTCTTCTAGCAAAGCAGAATTAATAAGAGGGTATTCCTGTACAAGTTGGGAATAATGAACACTGGGGGATGGAAGCCAAGATTGATAACTTGGTACATGGAGCTAGTGTGGCTCCCACGCTTGTGTTTAGGTCGCGTGTCACTATTTATGTGGTTGAAGTTTTAGCCGGGGGGAAGGGGTGTTGTGTCCTGAGCCTGTGAAGGCAGGCTCGGACATTGTAACGGTCCCAGGCAGTTGCAAGCTGCCCGGGACCAGACTGGCTGTCGCCAGCACTCGCGCACATGCGCGAGGTGCAAGTGCACCAAATGTTGCCAATTGGCCCAGGGATTGCCTTTAAAAGGAGCAGAGGAACTTGGGTGTTGTCGGCGTGTAACCAGCATGCTGTATACCAATAAAGAGGCTCCTGAGAATTACCAACTGCTTCATGCGTTATTTGCCATTCGCTGAGGACTCAACAATCCATATTTTATAGATATCACCAAAAGAACAAAAAATCCTGAGCTTTTTAACAGGTTATCTGTAATTTTTGACTTATTTATAAAAAGGGAAATGAAGTCCAACAGAAAATGTCCATAAAGCTGCTTGTAAGTCCACAATTTGTTTCTGTTTGTGTGGATTAATGTTCACACTGTTTCCTGTTATAACAAATGTATTAGTAATGTTTGAAATGTTTAATTTTAACCAGCAAGCTCAGGCTGAAGAATAGTTTAGGGAAGTCTATTTCCTGAGTTCAGCTGAGAAAAGATCAGAGGTTAATTATGCAGCTACAGAGTTTCCTAGCAAATAGCTATCTCTTGCCTTCGTTTGAATAGACCTAATGTCTATAACATCAAGCCCAACACTCAGGATGAAGTCTAGGGAGAGCCAACATGATTTTGGGGAACAAGATAGGAGGACGAAATATGTTTGTCACAATATCTGTATCCAGTGGCAAAAAAACTTAGAATAACAGAGTTGAAGGGACCTTGGAGTTCTTCTGATACAACCCCCTGCTAAAGAAGGAAACCCTATACCAGTGGTTCTCAACCTTTTTAATGCTGCGACCCCCAATCGGTCGTAAGTCGAGGACTACTCAACCAGTCATAAGTCGAGGACTACTCATCTGGTACAGCACTGTTTGCAGAATGGGACTTTTGGCAGGCTCAGCAGGGCAGAGACAGCCTGGACAATTCCTATTGGCTTTTGAAAGCCAATAGAATTAGACTCTATTCAACAGAGTCTATTCTATTGGCTTTCAAAAGCCAATAGAATAAAAGCTAAGGAAAAGGGGAAAAAATGGCGGACTGCGTTGTTTGGCAACCCCCGAAATGGTCGTTCGACCCCAAATGGGGTCCCGACCCACAGGTTGAGAACCACTGCCCTATACCATTTCAGGCAAGTGTCTGCCCAGTATCTTTTTAAAAAACTCCAATGTTGGTGCACTCACAACTTCTGAAGAAAAGTTGTTCCACTGATTAATTGTGTTCACTGTCAGGTAATTTCTCCTTGTTTCTAGATCAGTTCTCTCCTGGATTAGTTTCCATCCATTGCTTTTTGTCTTGTCTTCAGGTTCTTTGTAGAATAGGTTGACCCCCCCCCCTCTTCTTTGTGATAGCCCCTTAGATATTGGAGCATTGCTATCATATTTCCCCTGGTCCTCCTTTTCATTAAACTAGGCATACCCAATTCCTGCAACCATTCTTCATAAGTCTTAACCTCCAGTCCCTAAGTATCTTTGTTTATCTTCTCTCTTTATAGACTCTCAACATTGTGGCATATTTTATTGCCACCACCAAAAATACGGGACATTCATGTATATCAGTGTTTCCCAAACTTGACAATTTTAAGGCATGAGGACTTCAAAGTGGATTTCTCAGTGGCTGCTATTCCATGGATATTTTCAGAAACAACTTTGCAAAGGCAAAAGGTACAAACACGGAGAGACTGTTATTCATTTAAACTATCCAGCAGAACTGAAGGATGCACTTGCTTGAAAACAGACTACCTAGACTAAATGTAGAACAAATAAATAAGCATTCCCCCAATGGAGCTAGAAAGAATTGCACAACTCATCTATGCTTGGTGTGAAAATATGTGATGGAAAGTAGGAGTAACCTTGAAGAACACAAGAAAGAGCTGCAACCAAAGTCAAATATAAAAATCTAGAGTCTGTGACAGAAACATAATTTGAGAAAGCATGCATCATGAAAGCCAATTTGGTCAGTTGACTAAAGTAGCTGGACTATGAGCAGAGAAATCTGAATTAAAGTCCCATCTTGAGGATAGAAGCCAACTGGATGACTTTGGGCCAGTCATTTTCTCTCTCAGCCCTAGGAAGGAGGTAGTGGTAAACAATTTCCAAAAATCTTGCTTAAAATCTGCATGGACAGCCAAGACTAGCTCAAAAGAATACATATAATACAATATTAAACTATTGCTTAATTCCTACGGTGTGCTTAATACAGAATATTCACTGAGTCACTGAACCCAAAGACACTGGAAATTTGGTAAAATTATTGTTTTCTCGGATAAAGCAAAAACAATGAAATAATATCATTTCACCAAGGATGCTCAGAGCACAATATATAATAATTTGGATAAGAAAATCAGTTTTTTTAAAAAGGTATCTATGAGAAAAAGATTACTGAGGAAGAAATGAATATTTTTTTAAAAAATAAAATAGTTTTTCCAGAAATTACAACTTTTTTATCTAGCCGTTTTATTATCTCTTCATCAAAAACTAAACATTATAATATTTATAAAAACAGGAAAACATATAATATATAAAATATATATAAAGCTCTTATCTACTATTGTAGAATGTTAGAATAGTTAATTAAATCTATTTAACTGATTTCAGCAGCATCTGAAATTCAGCAGCATCTGAAATTCAATACTAAAAAAAATTAGGAAGAGGCAAGGACACCACTTCCAGAATTTTGCCAAGAAAACTGCAGGGTCTTGTCTAGGCAGCCACCAGGATTCAAATGTGTGTGTGCATAGACACACACACACACACACACACACACACACAAATATTGGAAAGGGGAATGATGATTTCAAATCTTTTATTTCCTTGGAATAAAAAGTTATTTGCTATTAACAAACTAATGACTAAGAGTCTTGACAAATATTTGTATATTTCTTTTGATGAATCACAATAACAATAATAATAGTTGGAAGGGACCTTGGAGGTCATCTGGTCCAACCCCCTACTCAGGCAGGAAACCCTACACCATTTCAAACTACTAGTAGTAGTAGTAGTAGTAATAGTAATAGTAATAGTAGTAAAGTTGGAAGGGACCTTGGAGGTCATCTAGTCCAACCCCCTGCTCAGGCAGGAAACCCTACACCATTTCGGACAAATGGCTGTCCAGTCTCTTCTTAAAAACTTCCAGTGTTTGAGCATTTACTGCTTCTGGAGGCAGGCTGTTCCACTGATTAATTGTTCTCACTGTCAGGAAGTTTCTCCTTAGTTCTAGGTTGCTTCTCTCCTTGATTAGTTTCCACCCGTTGCTTCTTGTCCTGCCTTCAGGTGCTTTGGAAAATAGCTTGATTCCCTCTTCTTTATGGCAGCCCCTGAGATATTGGAATACTGATTTAGCAAAAGATTTTTTTATGCTTATTGGAGGCCTGGCAGTCAAAGTGATTCTGGAAAAGTAAAAATACGGGACATTCATGTATATCAGTGTTTCCCAAACTTGACAATTTTAAGGCATGAGGACTTCAACTCCCAGAAGTATAGTTTCAGCTAGTCTGGCTGTGGAATTCTGGGAGTTGAAGTCCACATGCCTTAAAATTGTCAAGTTTGGGAAACACTGATGTATATCATCCTTTTTTATTTTAATATACATGTTCATTAGTAGGGTTTTAGAAAGAGCCATATGAAAGTTCTGATGATTTATCATACATGTGGTGCATTCAACAATTCTCTTAAATGGTAAAAAATATGCAATTTTATAATAGGTGTTCACTCTCTGATTATGGATTCGCTCTTTATTGATATAATGAAAGAACTGATTACTACTACTCAGTGTGATCATGATTAAATGTTCTATTTAAAATCTGGCATGATTTTTATTTGAATTTATAGTGGTCCTTTCCCCCTTTCTACCCTTTTATATCTTTGTTTTTCTTTCCTATTTTTGTATGGCTGGGTGACTTTGGCCAGACATATTTCAACCCTAAACAAAAAGATCAAAAAAACAGCTTTCCATGAAAAAGTCTTCATTTGGGCTGATGATAATAGGAAAATTATTATTTTATCGATCCGCCAAGACATACAATGCTGCTTTCACCTTTGGTGTCAAATTTGATACATAAACTTTTCCACATCATTTTTCCTTAAGCCTCAGACTGTACATTTAGATGGACTGGAAAGCCAAGCTTTATTGAATTCCCAGACAGCTGTCTTGCATACCGTTTTAGAAAATCCAATCCAAATTGAGAGTGAAATGTAACCCAAGTTCAGAATTCTTGGAAGAGGGCTAGCCAAAATACGTTTTTCAACAATAAAAATATAAAAGAAGTTGTTTCCACTTGGTATGAACCCATTTTTTTTCCTGGCCATCAGCTGAGTTATCACACTCTCATAGTTTAAGGTCCCTCAGAGATTATATACACAATCCCTCAAACATGTTTAATTATTTTTCAAGACTCCACATTAACCTTTGGGATAAAAGCACAAACTATTATCCATCTTCCTTTCCCTCACCCCTCACGTCCATCACTCTTACTGTTTTCAAGACCAAAGTTTTATTTCCATCCCCTTATTTTTATCCGTCCTTCTGTTCATCTGTCTCATATATATCATCAGTGCTGGCCCTGAAATGACAACAGCATAAGAAATATTAGCAGTGAGATATTTACATAAGAATTGTGAAAGAAGCTTGGCTTTTCCATGATACCTTCTGATGGAAAATTAAGTGGAAATGCTTGTTTCTTAACTCCAAGGCTACCCCCAAATTTTCCTTCTCAGCAGTTTGTCTGTTTTGAACCTGAAAACAAAAACACAGAATGAAAAATAGCTGTTTCTCTGAAATCTGAATAGTGCCAAACCAATCTATTATTGATTTAAAACTCTGGAGGAGGAGGAGGAGGAGGAGGAGGAGGAGGAGGAGGAGGAGGAGGAGGAGGAGGAGGAGGAGGAGGAGGAGGAGGAGGAGGAGGAGGAAAAAGGGATTCTTCTCCTCCTCCCTAAACAAAAATCTGTCACTCATTTAGGCAAAGTATTATTCCAATTAGCAAACAGCTAGAACATTGCTTATCTGGAAGCAAAATGAAGAGTGTGTCAAGAGAATGTGGTTCCCTCTGAGCTGTATGGGGTAGATGGGACCATGCAATATTCTACACCAACATGAAACAAATCACAGAATACAGAATAACAGAGTTGGAGGGGACCTTGAAGGTCTTCTAGTCCAACCCTGCTCAAGCAGCAAACTCATACCATTCCAGACAAGTGGCTGTCTACTCTCTTCTTAAAAGCCTCCAGTGATGGAGCATCCAAAACTTTTAAGGCCAAACCGTTCCACTTGTTAACTGTCATCATTATTAGAAAATTTATCCTTAATTCCAGGTTGCTTCTCTCCTTGATTAGTTTCCATCCATCATTTCTTGTCTTGCCTTCTGGTACTTTGGAAAATACATTTTGGCTTAGTATGTTTTGCATGAACCTCATTATTGTGCTTTCTAAACAGTATTTATGGCTTAGCATGTTTTGTGAAGCCAGCCAATAGTAATTTATTTCATAAACAATATTAAGCAAATCTTAGCTAAAAAAAAAGTGCAAACTAAGTTGGAAAGTTGCTATTTATATGACACTGAAGAAGAAGAAATGTATCATTAAAAAAGGACAAAAGAGGTGGCCAGCTTGCATAAAATATACAAGGGGTAATTTCTATCCATTGGTCAAAGTTTAGACCCACTTTATGATCCTGATAACTTATAACCTAAATTGTGGGCTTAATTATAGTCATAAATCAAGGATTACCTCTAGTGGGTAACATTTTGACCAACTAAACTTCTTTCTTGCTGAATATAGTGTCCAGGCACTAGCTAATTATAGGCAAGCTTAAGTCTTCTGCTGTTGTTCCTTTGTTTGTTGTTTGTTTAAAGATCCAGTTTGGACTGACCTTGGAAAAAAATGCACTTTCTTGACTTCCCCATTCAAAGAAATAGTGCTGCTTACAGAGGGATTAAAAAAAAAACAGCATTGTAATCCCCTTGTAATGATGTCATGTGATTAGGAGTTGCCTTCATCTGGAAGATCTCCAGTGATCCATAACCACTTCCAGCATAGCATTTGAGATTCCATCTCTAATAGTAAGTGATGTCTCTTTTTAAAACCAAGTTGATGGAAATTCTTGTTGGAGAAACGAATAACCTTTGCCACTCCCTGCTTTACCCTGTTACTCTTCTGTCTCTTATATAACATGTCAAAACTTTTGATGGAGGAAACAAGAAAACAACTACTGTTATCTCAGTTTTTTTTATAAAATGTCCCAAAGGTGTTTTTCAAAAGGCAACTGGATATTTTGTTTTCCTTGAAAACATTTTACTTCTCATCCAAGAAATAGTTCTTTAATTCTCTGTTAGCACTCTGAAAAAACAAGGTCATTGATGCCCCTTGGGACCTTGAGAATCTGTATTCTAAAGGTCACCTGAATCAGAGTGCAAAAGGGTTTGGAATCTTCTTGGGACTGCCTTTTGAAAAACACCTTTGGGACAACCATGACCTGGATGATTAAGAATCTCCATAAACATTTTTATAGAATGCCAGAAGATACTTTATACTTCTTTCAAGTTAAATCAGACATGTCAAACACAAGGCCCAGGGGCCAGATGTGGCCTGTGAAGCCATCCTGGAAACAGTGAGGGAACAGCCCCCGCTGCCTTGGCCCTGGCCCAGCTGGCCAGGAGCCAATGTACAATTTTGTGGTTGCCGTCTATGCTGAAACGCATTCAGTCTTAGCTCCACAAGACCATCTGGAAACAGCGAGGAACCAGCCCCTGCTGCATAGTCCCCACCCCCTGGGTGCATGCTGGGGAGGTGTCACCCTTTTTGAGGAATGAAGAAATGCACCATTGCCTGGAAGTGGCCAGCCTACTTCACCTATCCGGCTTGATGGACTCTGCCCTGGTCCCACCCCTTTCTGCCAGAGACCCTCAGATCTGTCTCACTCCTGCCCCCACAGGCACCCTTGACACAAATGATGTAGAGCTAGCCATGCCAACCCAATAGGCCACACCCACTCCATCCACACTCACCCATTAGGCCGCACCCACCCAGCCCCCCAAGGGCAATTGCAATGCTGATGCACCCCTCAATGAAATTGAGTTTACATCCCTGAGTTAGATTTTGGGTGGTGTCCTGGATCCATGCTCCAAAAGTTGGAAGTCCTAATACAAAAAAAATAAAATAAGCAGTGTTAGGAAAGAACTGATTGCATCACAATCCTTTTGTTAAGGTTATCTTAGCAGATAACCTTAACAAAAGGTTAATTAAGTTAATTGAGATAAAGTTATTTATCGTGCTTTAGTTGGTTAAATACAATGGTATGGTTAACGAGTTGGGTAAGTTTATCCTAAAAAGAGAAGGCTAAAGGGAGACATGCTAGAAGTCTTCAAATATTTAAATGTCATTACAGGGAAGCAATTTCAGATTTAAAAGTTTAGACATTTTTTATGAAAGCCAGTTTGATGCAGCGGTTGAGGCATCAGACTAGAAATTGTCAGACTGTGAGTTCTATTCCCACTTTTGTGACAAAGCCAACTGGGTGATCTTGGGCTAGTTATTTTTTCTTAGACCTAGGAAGGAGACAATGGCAAACCACTTGGTAAACTTGCCAAGAAAGCTTCAGTGACTTGTCCACCTAGCCTCCAAGAATTGAACACAATTGAACAAAAGAAAGGGAAAAAAAATAGTTATTGGTCTGAAATGTTGGTCTGAAATTCCTGACCTGAACTAGGGGTTGGATTAGAAGACTTTTCCTATTATTCTTTTAAAATTTCTTCTATTGATTAGGAAGCAAATTTTGGGTGGATTCTGGTGTCCTGTCAGCCTCAAATTCTAGAACCAATGGACTGGTTGCAAAGGAAATTGACTTTGAAAAGAGTACATGGTGGTCAGAAAAATAAACGGAGCATTGCAGAGAGAAAAAAGAATCATTTTGTACAGATAAATTCTTAAAAATCTCCAACACCATTTGTCTGAAATGGTATAGAGTTTCCTATTTGAGCAGGAGGTTGGACTAGAAGACCTTCAATGTCCCTTCCAACTCTGTTATTCTGTTAGATCTGTATATAAACTGGCCAAGAATCTGAAAACTATCAAGAATTGATAGACTCATTTCTCGCATCCTCTACCAACTACTGAAATAAATGTCTGGATTAGTTACTTTCACTCCTGAGACCATGGAGATGGAGGAGTCCTTTCCTTAAATAAATGTTTGCCACAATATACTCTGACAGAAAGGTGTTTTCAGACTCATGTAGAGTCTGTCTTGACCAAAATCCTTGCAAATAGAACCAGTCTGCTTGCTGATTAAGCTGAAGACAAGAATATTTATTGATGAGTGGATTTATTTAGAACTGTCACAGCTTACTACTTTAAGGAGAATGGACAATTGTCTTCAGGGTATCTTGTTATCAATGGCAAATCTACCAACTTGGTCAGTATATTCCATAGGCCAAGATTTCAAGTTTCTAAAATTCTGCTGGGCAAAAATGAGATGGGGGAGAGATTGTGGGTTTTTTTTCCCCTTGTCCACAGCAATTCTGTCACTGACTTGTTTTTCTTTCCTCTCCACTGAAATCCAGGGCAATGGATCACTTCTGGATTCAGTACTAGCTTGAGGGAGACAACCAGAAGAATTTGAAAGACTCTGGATGCACTGGAGCTTTAGCCCTTCAATGCACACAGGTCCATCTATGGACTACCACTTTTTGATTTTTATCTAATTCCAAGCAGGTGCTAACCATTAGTTGAAAATATTAAGGTCAGGTCCAACATAAATGTTCAAATAAATTGATTTATTGCCATTCATGCTTATGCACAGGAATATTCTTAACTAATGGTTAGCAGGTTCTACCAGTCCTTCTACAATTATCTCTTCCACCTACCCATGGCAAAGTTCTCAGGAGAACCTGTTAGTAATTCCTCAGTTTGTGACATAAAGACACACTCCTGTGTAAAATTCAAATAGCCCCAATCTTATTAGGTTATAGGACATGATTAAAAACTGATCTATTCAAGTGAGCTTTTGATGTCCAAATATGAACATCTTGTTACTTATTTCTTATCATTGTTATTAGCTCTTGTTAAAACTTATATTTTTGGGTATAAGTTTGACATGTTTAACCTTTGGCTGTTTACTTTGATTTATTGCATCGTGGATATTTAAATTCAAACGACTGACTGCATTCCACTGAGAACTGATAGATAGAAGTGGGAAGAAATTGAAGAAATCAAGAAATCAAACCACTCAATCCCCTGAGATAATAAAAACTTTCTGGGACCCACCATGCATAATCCTGCAACCTTTAAAATAGAGTTGTTAATCATTCAGAGAAGAAATCAGCAAGTGGCTCAAACTTATTCTTTAATAAGGCTTGGAAATAAATCTTGCAAAGAAGCTAAATATTAGAGCTATTAATTTTGGAAGATTAAACTATGATTGTTGACCTAATAAAATAGGCAAATCCTAGACATTCAGGACTTGGAATGGCTAATTTTTGGTTATACTGCAAATCAGGTATTAGAAGCAATGGTTTACTGACAGTGGGTTTTTTTCTGTCATTAATAATTCTTTCTAGCTAGGGTTGACATCTAATGTCCAAAACTATATGTTCCCATTTTGAGAAAACCAACCACCTGTTTTTAACCCCTGCCAAATGACGCAACATTTAAAACTATCTCATCCCTACAGACCAAATATTATATTGTGTTTTGCTATCATTCAGTTGACAGCAGAACTTCTTTTGCTGTCGCTTAGCAGCT